TGGGCATTGTAACATGGGAGTCTATGGACGTTGACATGCATTGGGAGCCTGCTTCAAGTGGCCACAACAGGAACTGCAGTTTTGTGCTTGCTCTGCTTTAACTTCCTTTTTTCAAGTCTCTTGTACATTAATCAAAATTTTAAAAGGAGCACTTGTATGGTACTAACTGAACCTTAAGTGGTTAAATATTTTCACAAAAATGTCGGCTGTCCAAGGATGGGTAGTTTCCAATTTTTCCATTTCTTTTTTTTCAAGGATGATGCATGTTTTTATTAATTCAACAGTTCATCAAATTAAAAGGAGAATTTGGTAAAGACTCTTCTATTCCAGAGTAAATTGCACTGCCCCTGGAATATTATTTAAACATGGTGGCCTCCAAACTAGATACCTCCACCTTGTGCATGTAAGATGGTGATAATGGATTTTAAAATGTTAGCCATAATGGTCTTTTTCTAGAATAATTCAGGCCATTTTCTCTTTCATTTGACATTTAAACCTTTTTATTTTTTTTCCAGTGGATGATGGCTTATCAAAGGGAGAGGAGACAGGAAATAGAAATGTGCTCATGCCAGGATGACTGATGATAGTAACTACAAGTAGCGACGATATGCTCCACATCGAAATCTGTCCGCGTTTGAGGAAAGTAAGCTACAATAAAAATAAGCAAAACTTTCCAGTTCCTGAGTGACAGAGCCTATTAACACAGAGGAGGTCAAATCAAATCAGAACCCGTCAAATTAAAAGTAGCATGTCAACAGAGAAATGCCCCAGCAAGCCATACCCTGCTGTGAATTCACAATGCAACAAATTGGCCGGATGATTGGCTATTAAGAATATTCCAAATTAGCTTTCTTTGCATAATATCTATCACAGTGTGAACCTTTCAGCATAATGGAGCAAAGTAAGGTGAAAACTGAAGTGGAGAAGAGGGAAGAATGACTGAAGGCTCAATGACCATTTCAACTTTCATTTAAATTTGACCTTTTTCATCATGTCCATTGAGAAGAAGAGGATTTTTGTGCAAATAGTGCGTATAAATTTATGAGCATGCAGAACTAACCCCCGGATTTTGGTTTTAAAGAGCGGGGATCTAATAAACATTTTAAACTAACATAGAGCCGAGGGTCTGTTTGACTAATTTCACACGATCATAAGCTCATTCTGCATTCGCGGATACAGCCAACAATGGCTGACATCGAAGTGCGTAGTACACAAATGATAATGATGTTGTGAATATAGAGATCAAAGTCTTCTCGCTCTGGCGATTAAGTGTCCTAACAAATGCATGTATGAGGACAGCCTTATCACCTAGGACCACACAGAGGCCTTTTCATATCTGTCGCTCTCAGATGGCCAACCTGCGCCTGGCATGCGTAACGCTGCCAAATAAAAAAAAAAAGAAAACACCACAGGCACTGCCTCTGCGGCCAGCCTGGCCTGTTCATTTGACTGATCAAAGAACTCATTCAGACTTTCACAGTTCGGAAAAAGAAAGTTTAATGCTTATCACTTCAGGACAACTAGCAGGCGATTAAATGAAGCACGAGAAGGGCAAGTCTGGAAATTTTCTTTGGCTTGTCAAAACTAAACAATACAAGCTGCCGTTAACTTGTTTACCTCAGCTCCAATTCTGGCCCTAAAACATCTTCTGTGCATATTTGTTGTAAACTCGGGAAATTGTTGTTTTTATTAGCGCACAATAAGAGTGCTACAGCTTGATATAAGTATCGGTACGCTTCATCTTAATATTGCATTCCACCTAGTTTGTTTTCCTTTTTACATAGTTTGATGAATTGGTTTGACCCCTTGTTAGAGCATCTCTGGAGGTTTATAAATGTTCTAAACCAGTGTGATTAAGATCGCCTTCAGTCATTACACTAATGGACATGCATTTTAATTAATGGCATCCTCATTTGCATCACATGTTAATTATCTAAATCATTTTGTCTCATCTGTTCATTGTAATTAGTACCTATCAGCAGCTTCACTGAGTCACTGCATTTCTGAGAGATAACCCGGCTCTTCCTGCACTTACTGAAGATATATGTGGTTAGCTAGAAAATAAGTTATGAGGTTGTGGTAAGATGAAATAAAAACAACTATAATATATCTATTATAACATAGAAGTTAATTTTACACAGCATATAATTCATACCTTGTATAGGCTATGAAGTGTACCGTCTAAAGGTTCGTTAACACACAACTGTTTTTGCTCGCTTTCTTTTCAGTTTGGTTTATGTGCTGTTGTCATATAAATATCTTGAAACGATAGCTCAGAGAGGGGCTCATTGTCTCGTTTTGATCTCAAAGCTTCCCAAAGCTAAAATTTCAGTCTGCTCTGGAAGGGCACTGTATATAACAAGTCTGGTATTGTGTTGCAGTAACATGTCAGTTTACTCACACAGACTCACAACAAATGTGGAAAACATTTTAGGAAATAATTTTTTTTTTGCTTTCTTGAAGAAATTTCGATGACACCACGATGAATTGGGATGTCACCAGAACTGGTATTTACCTTCCTTTAACTTTTTTTAAATAGAAATTCTGAAAACACAATGGCACTTGTGTTTTTTAATACTGTAGGCAGTGAAGGTTACAATTCTTTTGAACAGGCAGAGGCAGCATACACCCACAAGTTTTCTAGTCTTATGGCCACAAATGCAACTCTCGCAGTAGCTCTGTCCTTGACGTGGGTAAGAAAGGTAGAGTCAGGCATGGAGGGATGATGTGGGTGACCAAGGGATGATAATTGATAAAATGAGGTGATATTCAAGCAATTCTGTCGTGGTTTTCAGACCAAGGGATTAAATTCAGCAAAGCACCTAAAAGACCAGCATCCAGATCTGTTCTTCGTGAAGCAATATCGTTATAAATTATCCACCTCATTCTGTCCTAAAGTACATGGTACCTAAAAATATACTTTTTTGTGAAAGCTGGCACTGCCAAAAAATCAGCCATGTTTCATGGGCAAAAAAGTTTGTAATGACTAACATTGCAAAAATACTAGCACAAATGAACCTTATGCCTCATATTAACAGTAATGTGCAATCAACAACCCTTCTAACATTTTAGTCTGTGAGCTCTCGACAAAATTAAATGTAAACATTTTTAATAAACAGCATGTTGGTGAGTTAAAACAACTTTTTAACAAAGGAACTGAGAATTCTGTAAATCTACTTCTGTTAATATTATATTATTTCTGAGGTTTACAGATGATATTTTACTGTTTAATCCTTCAAAAGAAAAAGAAAAGGCAACAAAAATTATGGACAAGACAATATACTGATCCTGACAATATTCATCAGACAAACACACATTAATGCTGAAGATAATGTCCCAAATACTAAACTGATCCTTAGAGGAAGTGGAGGAACCTTAGAGGAACCTTTTCAACTTTTTATTACTTTTGTATAGTTTTAAACTGATTTGCCTAAAATGAGACAAAACACAAACGAGGCTCATGTTTGACTGAAATCATTCTTAAAAAGTTTTTTATGGATATGGTGATAACAATGTTGAAAGTGATGCGTTCCAACAAAATGTCTTATTGTAATCACTTTACATCTTTAGCTGATTTCAATTCTTGTATTATTTTTACTAGGTCATTACTTTTGTTTTTAATGCACAAAAGCACAAGAGCATGACGATAAAGTCCTGAATCCAAGACAGAAACAACTATATACTGCTAACTTGCGTTAGACAACATGCTAACACAAAGCTAGCCAACAACCCACAGTGATGCTAAAGCTGACCCCAACCCAGCACCCAGATCCTGATCTTCAGCAGCTAACAAAAGCTATGATGAGCAGTCTGACTTGCAGCACTGCAGTGCAATCATTGTGCGATGACCTTAAAGTCTCTTTGGTCCTGATTTCATCTTTACTGTACATTGTTTTTTGTGTTCATGCATAAACATAAAAAAGACTGTATGTATGCCCTCATTAGGATAGGATTATGTGTTGGCATTTGGGACTGTAGCCTCAGGTTTATACTGTTACAATTATGTGACTGCATTTCAGGTCATTTTACAGAGCAATGCAAAATACAACGAGTAGTGTAGTGAGCTGCTCTGGGATTGAATTAATCAATGTAATGGTTTCTTTTAAGGAAAAATAATGAACAATGTGTAATAATGACATTAATTGTGAGTAACAATGTAAGCATGAATTCTTCTAGTCACTGTAAAAAACAACAACAACAACAACAACAACAACAACAACAAAAAACTGTAACTGTAAAGCCTGGTATAGCTTGTTTCTTGGCCTGAACCACAAACTCCTTTTGTTTTATTGGTGAAAGGTTTCACCCACAAAAGGGTTAAATCACATTACATTTCTCACATGGCCACAAAAAACAATCAATGAATTAATTTGACCACAAACGTCAAGGAGCTGTTAGCTACATGGCACCTTTTCTTGTATAAATACCGTCATGAAAGAGGACGACTCTCCTCAAACTCTTTCCAGTCATTTATTCTGTATCCCAGTGCAGCCAATCACAAAATGAAGTCGTCGTCGTTAGGCTGTGTGCTACATTAATGTTGCCAGCTGACTTCGCAATCAATAATGATTTGATCAGTTGAGTACAGAAGCAGAGCAATTACTGCTTACCTCGGTTAACAGGTGGCGTTGATAAGCTGAAATCAATCATTATTTTATTTTTGACTTAAGAAAATTACAGAAAATGGAGAACAGCTATATTGAAGTGAAACCCAACACGGGTGACTGTGGAGGGCGAGAAGAACAGATGGAACGAGCAGGGAGCGAGGAGAAAGGAAAACCGATTCTGCTATGTTCCAGCTGTTCCAGTGTTTCAGTGAGGTGACACCAGGCCTTATTAATGTTTTATAAGAATAATGTCCAGATTTTTAAGATGGAATATACTGAAAGGATAACACGGGAGTCAAGAGACACTGGCTGCAGAACCTCACTATGTGAGACTGACAGAAAAACTCTTCAGTAAGACATTTTATTGAACAACAGAAAGAAATATGTTCTTACCTGAGAGTAAACATCTCCACAGGAGAGTAGGCTGACACGGTGATAAAAGCAGAGCCAGTTTCCCTCTGCCTCATGGGTGTGGCTGGCACCAAGACCATAAAGTTATTATCCAGCCTGTGTTCAGCAAGAGGTGGCTCAGTGGGGTTCTGGTAGAGCCTCACACCGCCAATCCTCCTCAAAGGCGTTGAAGTATAGGAACCAAACAGCCCTTCCTGACTTGTGCGGATGAAATTGTCCTTTCTGGATTCATCTGAGTGGCACCCTGCGTCTGTGGACTGCAGCACGTAGTAGAGCTCCACTGGGGTGCCCTCGGACACTTCGTGATTCCTCTGGCGTCCTGGCACGACGCTAGGTGGGCTGAACCAGCTGGCCAGTGGCTCCAGCTCAGCCACACACAGTCCCAGCTCCCCCCTCAGCTGGCAAGTACCACGTACCTCCTGGGTTTCATGGAAAGCAAACATGTGCACACAGGGCAGCTTGTCGATGGCACTGTAGTCATCCCAGTCCCTGCCTGCAACATAGAACAACACCTGGACTTTGGGCTTGGTCAAGTGAATTCGGGAATTCATGATAAAGGTCTGCACCTTCCAGTTAAAGGTAAAAAGAGAAGAGGCAGGAAAGGTCCCCGGACTCTGCAGGAGCTCTAAGGGGACAGGCTGCTCCACAGAGAGGGGCCCATAGCTGGCGTTCACAGAGGGCAAACTTCTGGCCTGGTAGATGAAGAAGGGCTCGGTCCGCGACACCAGGGTAGAGTTCCTCATGAAGTCCTGGTTGGCCTCCTTCAGGAAAAATCCCAAGTCAGCATTGAGGAGCTGATAGTTGACAGGCAGGTACGTGGGGATAGAGGAATATCTCTGCAACCCCTCTAAGACTCGACAGTCGGTTACTAAAAGACAGAAGAGAAAAGCCAGTCAGTGTAGTCTTATAATAGAAGTGCTTTTATAACCTATTTCACCAAGATGATGTAGAAAGACACAAATAAAGCCAAAGCAGAAACTAGAAGGAGCATTTTGAACGTGCAAGAAAAGTGTTGTAACTACACATATCTCTGATAGATCACATACACTAAGTCAAGTAAGGATTCAAGGTCTTCTGAACGAATGAAAGCTTGATCGACTCATTAGTCCAGTATTGTTATTTGACTTCTGACAACATGAATCAGCTGAATAAGTGAATTTCAGTAAATTAAAAAAAGATGTGTTTCTTTCTACTAAATAAGTCAGAGCTGTTAATTGTTCGACTGACACAAAGAGCATGTATCACAGGCAGCAGACACTCAATGAATGTATTTATTGTAAAAGGACATCAGTTACCTCCTTACATGTTTCTTTTCCTTTTTTTTTTAGTACGGTTAATACGTATAAAATCCTCACTGTAAGCCAAGACTCTAAATATTTTCTTCAGACTATAAAGGAAGGATGTCTCAGAAAAGTTTTAATAGAAAAAATGGACACTAGGAGTACTGTTCATTTAATGAGGTGTAAGAAATCTTCACATTTATTTCAACAAAGTCATTATTTTGACTCTAAAGACTAGTAGGTGGTTCATATTCATGTGTTTTAAAGGGTCTGAATCCTGTGATCTTTTATATGAATAAAAACAGATTTAGATTAATATGAAAAGATGACTTCATTGAATTTACAGTGCCGTATTTTTTGTATGACAGAGCGTGAGCTTTTGTGCCATTTAAAGTCTCTTAGTCTTCTCCATAGTGTGTATTGTTGGCATTTGGCAGTGGAATGACTTTAGATTGCTGTAAGAATGAAATGCTTGTGTGCTGTAATTGTATTTTAAAAAGCCTGAAAAAGGACAAGGAGATTTAGACATCTGAGAAGATTATCGAGACAGAGATTTTCTCTGCAACATGTTAGAATTAGTGCTGAAACAATGAAGCAATTAACCAGTAATGAGAAATAATAATGAGGCACAATTTTTGCAGTTAATTAATAAGTATACCCTTCTAGCCCCCAAGCTCTAAATGTATGCACTACATTTATATATTTATATTCCTGAATTTTGCTGCAATTATACCACTAGGAACCCCACATTATCTGCACGCTTTAATTAGAAATGTGCAGCATCGAATTATCCATTTATCAGTATAACATAGCCTATGAGGTTCAATATAAAATCAGTTAAAATGTAATTATAATTACAATTAAAACCAGCTTTCTAAATCACAAGAAGTCCATAGAGACTGACAATACTGTTCTTATAACCCGAGGAACTTCACAGAACACATAAAGAAGGTTTTAATGACAACAAGCGTGTGCTTTGACCTTCTTCTCCAGAGCAATCGGCTACATGATTACACTTCCTTAGTACGCTTTCATCCTCATGCTGGCTGCTGGAGAATTTTTTTCCTCTGATCACCCTTGTAAATCAAACGTCCCAGCAGGTTACAAATCAGACAAGGATTTGGACTTCACGGTGCTCCTGCCAGCCTTAATGTTGCTCTCCTACCGTTGGATGGAGAGAAGCAGTCAGTGTCCAAACCTCAAACCGTGCAGAAATGGTCCTACTTAAAGAATCACTTTGTAAAGACTCGGTCTTTACAGCAGGAAACACAGATTTCTGAGCTGCAGAACAACATTGGGCAATTTGTGTTTTTCCTGACCAAGCAGGAGCTTTGTGTCAACTGCTGGCATGAAGCGTTGTTGTATACGTGCCATCACACTGCTGGCAGAAGAAAAGCTTTATAGCCCAGTCAGTGACCGATTCATTCTCTGGTTCCTGGGAAGCAACATTACTCTCACTCTCCTGACTGAGCCCTCATGTGTCAGAGAAGGTGAGAGCAAAGAGCTCTCTGCATTGAGCACCTCTCCTCGCACCATGTTGAAATGTGACTTAATGCTTTCACTGCTGGTACAAAGACATGTAGGCGACTCATCTGTGTGCTTTTATATACGAATGAAGAAAAAACAATCTGGAAAAAACTATTTCCAGCCAAGAAATTTAAATTTCATTTAAAATTTTCCAAAACATGCTGTACAAACT